CTTTTTGTCAAAAATTACAAAATTACGGAGCATGAAAAATTTATCATTAAAAATGAAATGAAAATTTGTACATTATTCAACTAACTTCCTCTACTTGTATTCATAAACAGCTAACTTCGCAGTCACTACTCACCGACGTTAGCGCTGCTATATATTCTTCAATTTTCAAGGAGAGGCGGGCTATGCTTTAGTACGTAGTGATCGTTCTCCTGTTCTCTAACCTTGATGTTGAGTTTCATAGTGACAGACGATTGTTTTTGTGTGTGCACATGAAAAAATAAAAGTAGTAAAAGATTGTATTTATTTCGAATTCGAAGTTGCGAACGCGAGGCAAATACAATTTATCATAACTAAACTTGTTGGTTCATCATCATTACCATACCTCCAACGTACCCCCATCGTAACAATTACACCTCTTGTTGAGCAGTTGATGAACCAACTCAACAAAGAAAACGTAAACTGATTATTTGCGCTGTGTATATCCCACCTAAACAAAACTACGACACATACAGTGCTTATTTAGACATTTTACACAGCGCGGTGCATGATTTAGGTACTTACTGATATTTATATAATAGGTGACTTTAATTTGCCTAGTCTACTGTTGTAAAATAAAGGCATTTTCACTCCATACAGATCTCTTGAGAATCCAAGGGCTCCATACTGAGTTCTGGAGAATCCTACACCGTAGGGACAAGTCTGGGATTGGCGGCTACCGGTATGATACTTGTAAATACTAAAGACAGACTTTTAGCTGTTTCAGAGTACTGCAATGATGACCTGGTTACAGCCTTCATAAATCTCAAGGGATGCACAGGGGCGAGAGTAATCATTTGCTCAGCCTGTCTTCCTGGCGAGAACGCAGATCCTACCATCGAGTTAGAGCGAGTGGCGGAGTTCGCCCGAAAACACACCGAAAACACCGAACTTGTGGTGGGTTGTGATGCTAATGCTCACCACATAGCCTGGGGAAGCATCAACATTAACGAAAGAAGTGAGTTACTTTATGATTTTCTAATCTCCAACCGCCTGGTAAGCCTAAAGTTAGGTTGTACGCCAACCTTTGTAACGCGTACAAGGCAAGAAGTGTTAGCCATAACCTTTGCTACCAATAACATGTCCAGGCGGATAAATGACTAACTGGATGAATGATACATGTTAGTAGTGAAAACTCGATGTCTGATTAAGTTTGTGATTGGACATTAAGTTTATGATTTATGATGCACATTAAGTTTGTGATTGGAGCATCACCAACATTTGAAACCGTTACATTTAGGGATCCAAAAGCGACCTCCTAGGGTATCTACAGAGATAGCCTAAGCAGGAATTTGGAAACGTGTCCTAACAGCATCAAAACAATTGAAGGTCTGGAGATAGCGACGGAGACAGTAACCGTAGCCGTGACGCCTTCGAGGACAGTTGTCCCATCAAAACCAAGACCTTTACATGTTGCAAATATAAACTAATCTCGTAAAAGTGCGGTTCTGTTTCGTGTTCAACTTTAAACCTAATTTGTAACAGTTGAGGGTTTACTTTTTCAAAAAAAAAAAAACTAATCTCGCGGGGAGTGCGCTTGTCACATTTCGATTATCACTACGATTTTTGTGAAATATTATGTACTCGAGTACTTTATCGGTAAAGTTCTCGATTATTATGATACTATTTTAAATGATTGTAATAGAAATCACAATAAATATACTTACATATGGAATGTAACTCCATCTTTTTGTAAATTTGAAGTATGAGACTTTTTTGTACACGTTAACCGCACAGATCGGCATTCTTTAAAGTGCACATACAAAGATGCCCAAGTAAAACGATTACGAGAATACATTAGTATAAAGTATTAATGCAAAATTGTTTCTGTAATATAGTTTTTCGGAATAAAGCTATTCTATAGTTAAAAAAATCTGTTGAATTTATTTAATCTAAGGACAAAAATTGTTTATTCACACTTTGGTTATAATAATTGGTAATGTTCGTTAGTTGAGTGTGATTGTAATAGAAATCACAATAAATATACTTACATATGGAATGTAACTCCATCTTTTTGTAAATTTGAAGTATGAGACTTTTTTTGCACACGTTAACCGCACAGATCGGCATTCTTTAAAGTGCACATACAAAGATAGGACGATTCTTGTAATGACAAAATGCATTCCGTAAACAATTTTATAAACGCACAAGATCATTAAATCCAATACCTGCGCAGAGGGGAATAATCATGCGAGGCGAGTCCATAGGGTTAAATGGTCTAAGGTCATCATCGACTGTGCACTGGTTTGAACTGTCGTCAAAATCTACCAAAAATTTCGTAAGGATGACGCATCAGAATATTGAGAAGAAAAATCATAAAAACGAAGATCCTGAATGAAACGAAGACTTGGATTAAAAAACAAGCATCCAAGCCAAAATTCTTAATAAAAATAAAGAAGGTCACAAAAGGTTATTTACGTTAGTGAAGAATTCGATCAAATTCGAGTTAGATTGTGGTTTAGTCTTTTGGATTTTTTTTGCCGGTGTTATAATTAAAATATAATAAAAGCCTAATCACAATGGCAGCAAAATACAAGATTGTTATGGTGCGCCATGGTGAAAGTGAATGGAATCAGAAAAATCTATTTTGTGGGTGGTATGATGCTGACCTTAGCGACAAGGGTAAATTAAAATCTATTCTTAAACTACGAAATATTTTAATTCAATTTCTTTTTTTTATAAGATCATTTTATTAGGTCGCGAAGAGGCTGTAGCGGCTGGAAAGGCTCTCAAAGCTGAGGGTTATCAATTTGATGTTGCTCATACATCGGTCTTAAAAAGAGCTCAAATTACATTAAACACTATTCTTAAAGAAACTGGTCAACCTGACCTGCCCGTAAATAAGACTTGGCGCTTAAATGAAAGGCACTATGGTGGCCTTACTGGCCTAAATAAAGCTGAGACTGCTGCCAAGTATGGTGAAGCACAGGTATGTCATTTTTGTATTTCTGTCAAATATACTCAATGTATTTTATTGTATTAATTTTCTAAATTTAATATAACAGGTTCAAATTTGGAGGCGAAGCTTTGATATTCCCCCACCTCCAATGGAGAAAGATCATCCCTATTATAACACAATTGTGAATGACCCTAGATATGCAGGAGACCCAAAGCCTGAGGAGTTCCCAATGTTTGAGAGTTTGAAGTTAACAATTGAAAGGACTCTTCCTTACTGGAACAATGTAATTGTTCCTCAGGTAGGTCTCACTAATATGCTTTTTTGAATAAAACAGTTATAACAGTATATTTGTAATGTAACTGTATAATTTTTATATATTTTCAGATTAAAGAAGGGAAGAGGATAATCATTGCTGCCCATGGAAATAGTCTTAGAGGCATTGTTAAGCATTTAGACAGTGAGTTATTAGAATTATCTGTTTAATACAAAAATGTAAATAAAATTTATGAGTAGCGAATTTTAAGCAAGGCAGGTAGATTATTGAGAGCAGAACTAATACTCTGGAGTGGCAACATAAGAATATTCACTACTTCATAATAACTGGTGGTTGTTGTAAGAGTAATGAAACAGGAAATGGCAGTAGCAGCTTTCATGATAACTCAAAATTATGAAAGACTAAGGTTGCCAACTTGTTTGTCAAGCATGGTAACTATAACAAATACCCATCCTATGAGGTCACCATTGGGGTTGGCCTATATTATACTTTTGATAGATGTAATGATGATGATGTGAGCTAATGTTAATGCACTCGTAAATAGCACTTCCTATCACGAGTGTGTGAAATTTAGAGTAATGTTTTTGGTTGGATTATTTGCCATCAGTCTATTACTAGAACCTTGATTACCAGCTGCCAGGGTATACCACATGCAGATGAGATTGGCGAATAATGTATCCCCTTACACACTATTTATTGACTACAGAATTTACTAAAATTGAATTTTAATATTTTATTATAGATCTCAGCGATGCTGCTATCATGGAGCTGAATCTACCCACTGGAATTCCATTTGTGTATGAATTAGATGAAAACATGAAGCCCGTTGATTCTATGGTCTTTTTGGGTGACGAGGAAACAGTAAAGAAGGCCATGGCTGCAGTTGCTGCCCAAGGCAAAGCAAAGTAAATATATCATAAGATAGTGTAGTGTAGTGAGAAAATATTATAATAGGCTAATATTTATTATTGAAATTACCAGAAATCACTTTATGTAGGTACTCATAATTATAGCGTAAAATTATTGGAATGCTGGTAAGAGAATGTAATAGTGGTTGAATGTCTAACTAGCTTACTGCTAGTTTGATTATTGTAATATTTTAATCAAAAAAAAGTTTGGATATGTGCCAGAATGCATAAAACTCAAATTTATCATTATTTTACATGTTTATGGAGAGTTAATAAAACATTGTAACAGTATCAGCTACTTTTATTTTTAACATCTTCATTAAGGTTGTTGAAGAAATAATACCATTCAACAATAAATTTTACATATGATACAATATGAGATGCATCACACAACATGATTATTCTATGTAAAATAGAGCTAAAATGTAATGATATTGAGCAACAGATTTTTATGTAATGTTTGCTATTCCTGTTTTCAATTAATATAAAGAGTTACAACAATTTTTTTTTACATCTGGAGAAATGTAGAGTGAGACCTTCCAGTAAGTACATAAAATTAAATGTATCTAAAATAAAATTTACATTAGAACCTTACATGAAAAACGGTGGTGTGCTTCTAAACAAGTATATTTATTAAAATATTTACAATAAAATGTAAAACAGCAGACACATTACTTATCAAAAATAATATCCCATACGACTACAGAAGTTTAGTGTAATTCTAAAAACCCTTTGAAATAAGCTTATAACTCATTAGAAAGGTGGAATGACATTCTTTCTGGCTTTTAATAGTTGTGAGACTTTTGGATGCTTTATTAAATATTGCTGTTAGACATAGTATCAACTTCTTAAACTCTAGTTCACTATGTAAACAAACTTTCCTTTATGGCACTTGATCACCCATATTCATTGAATTCGTATTAATGTTATCCACTGTAGACTTTTTACAATTCTTTGAAAATGCTTTTTGCTTACTGTTACTAAACAAAAACTTTTTATTTTCTAATGGTTTATTAGTTGCTGGATCAACATCCATAGACAAATCACTATTATTGATATCTTTCTTTTTAAATTTTGGAGTTTTGGGTTTCTGATCGAATCTAAAGTCTTTTGGTAGTTTGTGAACTTTTACACAGTGGTCTAAGCGCTCATCTGGATTTTTAAATTTTTCTTTACACTCTTCTATGTAACAGCAATACTGTGAAAGAACATTATATCTTATTATTTAAAGCTATATTGTTGTTATTTTAAAAATATAATATATCTGACAATATTTTACACATTCATCTCTTCTAAAATAAGATTTTTTTTAAATTATTCTTTGAAAACAATTACATGAACAGAAAAATCACAATGCCTACAAGAGGACTAATTAAAAATTTTGTACAGCCAACTTCAATATGACCGAATTAATGTATTCAAAGTCAATTAAATACGCATTATTTAAGGATAACTCAAAAACAACTGGTCAGATCTTGATCAAAATTAAATACCAGCTTTCAAATAAAAAAAGAATTATTCAAATCGTTTCACCCAGAAAAATAATCTGAGGTAATACACAAAAAAAAATACAGTGAAATTGAATTAAAAAAAAAATACAGGATCTGAGACATTCTATGTTATATGTGTTCAGACCGACAACAACTCTGGAGCCTTCATTGTATAAAGTTTGTGCAGGTGTCCATGGAATGCACCATCAGTTGGCTGCAAGTTCACTGTCATTTCAATTTAAAAAAAATCTGAAAACATGATAATATTCTAATTTTTATCACCTTTTATGGTCGACATTAGTGATTGTAGTATGTCAACTTGGCTAAGCCCATTGAATAGATAAGAATAGAACGGTGGCTTTTATCCCCTCCGGTGACAATGTTGTAATATTGACTTAGGTGACAATATCATTTAAGATATTAGCTAGATATTTCCAAATACTTTATCTGTATCTAATAATCTACCTACTAGATACTGTCGTTCATATTTGAGACCAAGTAGGAGCATAGCCTTTTTAACTGGCTAACCCAAAAGATGTATTACCTACGTTTTACAGGTGTATGTTTGTATTTATATATTTTGGTGGGTACTTTTATTTATTGTTTTGGGCAATTTATGTATGTAAACTGTCCACACGATACAGGAGAAAATCCTAGTACGGAAGTTTCATTTAAAATAATATAACAAGATCCTCAGAAGAGGTCATTATATAGACTGCTAAACAGGATTTACTTTACGATTTCTTATATTAAAGCGAACACTACACATTGATTAAAACTACTTTTAGGGATTTTATCACGTTTAGTTTCTTGATTTTTCATTCCCGACGTTTCAGGTGCTTTCCAGCACCTATGATCATGGGAGACTGAGGTGACCGATGTCAGTTCAAAAGTTTGCTGGAAAACACTCGAAAGTCGGGGATTAAACATCTATAAATTAAAAGCGACAAAATCTGTTAAAGTATTATTTAACACTTTACACTGTCCAGCTTTTAGATACAATAGTAAGACAATAGCAATGACCTATACGTAATGCATGGGACAGCGAAAGGGTTAATCACCAGGATTTACTTTTTAAAGCTTATAATTGTATATATACTGTGAAATAGCTGTGTAAGAATATCCTATATCATCTCGTGGGTAAGAGGCGACAGAGTCTTCCTAATGAGGACATAAAATAAAAAAAATGCAGGTGCCAACCCGGTTGCCAAGTGTGTGGCAAATATCCGCCTTATGACGCAATCTATGGGGGAGGCCTATGTTAAGCAGGAGACTTTAATAGGCTGTAACGGTAATAAATATAGTCATTATCACGTGTGAGTGTATTATGTTTGTTCATTCCTTTGTGACCTGGTACCTAAATATATATATAGGTGTCTAGATTAGTCTTCATCTCCCGAAATTCGTAAACTATATTTCATTCTAATCGATTATAATAATATTACAGCGGCAGTTGAAATAGCACAGCGTTTGTTTAAAGCGCGTTCTAACGAACGTACCATTTAAGGTTCGGTACCGGCCACATCACCAGTGACCAGGGAATAGCGATAAGAAATTCACATGCCTCACATATGTGCCCAGTGGCGGCCACTCGCTATAAAGGCCCCAAGTATAAAATAGCACACGATGTTTGACAACTGCCAGCGGAGAATGGATCGTGGCTTGCAATGGCAATGTTGTCGGTTTTTCGGAAACTAAAGGAATCGTGGCATAGCTTGGCCTGGGAATGTTCACACGGTCGCCCATTGTTTAATGTTTCGTTCGTCCCCGACTGCTAATGGGGTGGTGCACTTTTTTAGTTGTGGGTTTTTTTTTTAATTTATCTTTACCTAAAATTTTCGCTATGGAGTGATGATAAGCTTTGCATGTGCACTATTGTGTTCCGCCGAGGGACTATGCTGCCTTTTCGTGGCGCATGACCGAGCGTGGTCTATTGTGTACTCGGGCCTTAAATGTCTGCGAGGCCACCACGGGCTCACAAAGCACCGACTCTCGTTACTGAAGCACGTGTTACCATTACCTACCATTAAAGCCTATCAAAAGTCAACTGCTGAATGCATATATTGCTTCATAGAGGGGATATTTGCCTTAGTTGCCACGCTTGCCAAGAGGGCTGTCAACTGCAGTTTTTTATCTTTATTGAACTGTTATCGGGAAAATGTTGCTGTACATTCTACAGGGAGGCGACTCCCTGTGTGGATGATATCGCTTAATAAATTAAATGACCCGTTCGAGTTCTGTTGGTGCTTGGTACATACCGAAGGTTTCTTGGCAGCCATAACTGCGAAAAATGAGTCGTGCTTCTCCTGCAAATGCAGATCGAGGAGATGAGGCGAAGGTAGCATCTTCTTACATTGACCACAAGCATATCTGTGGCAGGCGTTGTAGTGATTTTCGAATTCAAGTAGAGATTCTGCCACGAATGTGCAACCGGTGACGTTGCATACCGTTGGGATGCTGAGAAACGTTAGAAAAAAGGAGGGAAAAATTACTAATTTGTTACATCAATGTCTTTTTAAATAAATAAATAAGAAGTTCACTAGTCGCTCTCACAAATTCAACAGTCAACTTAAAATACAGTTTAATATAGGGCTTGTTAGCTCGCTAAGTACTAACTAAGGTGAGGAAACGCAGCCTGCTTGGCACTATATAATCGCGAGGGGTAGGACTGATTGCCCCTGCGCCCTCTTTTCCCAAAAGAGGGTCGCTCACGATAAGGCACAATACAGCTTAATCAGCCGGCTGCCTGTCCCCAAAGGCGGTTTTTAGAGGGTATCACTTAGGGTCCCCGGTAGGACAGTGAGTCCCTCATAACCACGATAGACCGGCTATCGTGGTATGCGTAATGCATTTTACGCCTCCCTACGTATAGGGTAGCCCTTTAATTGCTTCGGGCGCAAAAAAAAACTGATTGCTGATTTTATTTTTAGTTTCTTTTATTATATAATATGTAACATAATTAACGCACTTTGAGAAAGTAGTTTGTTCAGAATCGTTTACTGAATCGATTCCTATCATTTTTAATATTGGTAATTTTTTATCCCAAAAATAATTAAAACTACGTAAGTTACAGTCACACTAAATCTGCACAGTCAAAACAAACTGAAATGGACCCTAACTTAAGGCGATAAGACTTTTAAGAGTGCATTTTTATTTTTATTATTACTAATTCCGTCCTTTAATAAAAATAAAGAAAAATGAACTTTATTTCAAGCACGTTAAAGTCTTTGCGTTCGTGGATTTGTACTGTGACCACAACATTCTTCCGGAATTAGTATAACTAATTTGATAAATAATCAGTGCATAAAAATGTTTAACTAAAAATTCAGTGTATGTATTATGATTATATACCAGTTGGGGTGTCTGAGGGTGTGCTTAATTACGTCACATATTGTATATGTAATAAATGTATTATTAAGCTGTTTAACCGACGCAGTACTATATTATCTCTTAAGTTCTTAAATCAACTTACACTTCATGACACAAATCTTCTTCATCAATGTCGTACACACCTAACCGAGGGGGCGGTTTATCCCCCACAAAAAGCTCGTCGTGGAGTTTGCGGTGTCCGATCCCATATGTCTTCATTTTCTTCAGTATCGGGTTCGAATCCATTTCTCCTGTTTAGTTTTGGATCTGTTAATTATTGATAAATTATACGTTAAAGTGTAAACACACATAAATTTAATTAGTCTTTCGCGATCGTTTTTCAAACTAGCAGTCGCGATCCCGATGGGCAGTTCAGATTAATCACCTCATTACGTCCTGTAGGTGTCGTAATCGTCAGAAGCAAACTACGGGAAATATTCTAGCATTATTATGGCAAATTTTATAGCTTCCAATGGATGACGGTGTAGCCTACGCTCTGCGTAAAATACGCAACAGCGTCAAAGATGCGAGACCTCTGATGCTGTGAAAGTTAACGCTTCTTTTTTTCAATGCCGACGCTCCGAAAATCTCAGCCGCCTAGCGCCATGCTCCACCCTTTGCTACGTCACTGCTTCAGTGAAATCTTTTAAAACATTTGCAACGTATGTTAAGGCACCACACAACTGAAAATGTATAATCACTACAACCGACGCTGCGGGAACTCTGCAGTATTTGTCTGTCTATCTGTATATCTACATTTTCAGGATCGTCCTAACCATTATATCAGATTTGATAGGCCACAAATCCTCGCATAAGAACACCGATTCCTACCACGGATGATTCGCGAGGCTATTGAAATTAAAAAAATAAAACATGCTCATTTCAATATTGAAGATGTCTGGGTGCTACCATCTGATTGAAATCCCATAATAAAATTTAATCCAAATCCAAGCATACTACTGCAAGACTTCAAGATACTGTAAAAAGCTCATTCTGCATAGATCGGACTAAAAATTAATTTTAAAAGTTGACGGTGCCACCGTGACCATGGGTGCTGTAAAGTATCCGAACCGTCGTGAATAAAAAAAAAGTTAAAATTAAACAAGATAAAATCCGTTGTATTGGTTTTATTCCACGTTATCACTACGTTTATTAGCGCCCCAATAGTTTTCAACAAAATCAGAGGAGCATTACACCCAAGAGGATTAAAAACAAAGACAGTCTGGCCTTATAATTTGTAAATTTCTATGTCTAAAGGGAGGCAAATGTTAATCTTTTTCATGTAGTTTGTTGGAAACCCGAGTAAGGAAAGTGTTTCCTAAGTACGTTCGTTATTAAGTGTTACTAAGTAGCCTAAAAAATTATTTAATTTGTTGTTTTGCGATACGTTCGCGTAATACGAAAACAAGTGTCGGACTCTTTGTTGCATAACATGTTAGGATCTTGCGTCTTGACGGTCTGTGATTATAGTGGTTTAAGAAAATTCTGCACGATCATGCTTGCTAGCGTCTTTGATACAATCGCAATTTACCAAGGTCAGGTGAATAGTGATGCCACGCAATAAAATTATAAGACGGATATTCTACGTTTTTTTTTTCAAAAACGTGAAGGACACTTCAATAGACTTTTAATATACTTAAAAATTATTAAATATTACATAGGTAATATTATAAAATAGGTAAAATAACACTGTAGTGGCGATGTAAGAACATCCGCTACCCCATCGTCCCGTGGATGTCGTGTGTGAGACGAACGTGTGAGAGAGAAACTCAAACATTAGATCAGAATCAGCAGCTTTTTCCTGATAACAATTCGAAATAATAAAAACCTTCGATTGCCAACGTCCATGCCAAGCGTTACAAACTATGGTAAAAACCCCTATGAGGCAATATATGGGAAAGGCATATATTAGGTAAGCATTAGACTTTTATGGACTCTAATGAACGAAAAAATAGAACCTCTAAATCATCCATGTTCTGATTTGCCTGTAGGTATAAGTTTTTAGATGAATATGTCAATCTGTATAGAATCAACATATTAAATGTTGAAGATGTTCTTTTCATCTTAAACTCAGACCAATAAAGAAATAATCAGTGAGCGCTACATTTTAAGTGATGTCGTAAACCATGTTCAACTTCTTAACACGCACTCACGCGCAAATCTTTTTTTCTTTCTTTAGCCCGTAAAAACTTACTGGTTACTACACGCATGCAACAATATACCTAAAACCATACAGTTGGTTGCAAAAGATTTTACAATAAATTGAGCATAGTTTTGGCTTGGTTATTGCATCACTTGAAATATATCCAGCTTTCGTTCTTTCTTTGTCTAAAATCTTAAAATAAAGCATTGGAATACCGAAAAAATTTAATTGATAATGTATGTATAATTACCTAAGTATTTTCATTTTAGGAATAGAATTTTTGATAAAATTAGTTTGTACTTACTTCGGCAGTACATATATACCTACTAAAAATTAGTTTAACGAATATTGTTTTGAATGATCAATTAACATCACAAAAATTATTATTAATATCCTAATATAAATTAAATATATTTGTGCTTAAATAATAATAATATCTTGCGAAGCGAATAACCTATCACATAGTGTTCTCTGCCCATCACTAACGCTCATTGCTCATATTATAAACATTATTGAGTGATAGGAATCATCCAATGGTTGTTGGTGTTATCTAAATTCTAAAAAATTACACTGCTAGTTTAGTCTGTGGACTGGATTCTGTACGATAAAAATGTGTTTCGTGGAATTAACAATTAAAGTAAGAAGAAAATAATTACTTATGGTGAGACCTGAGACCCGGCTCAGATCAAGATAACAGAAAACAGATTACTTTGTTGATAAAGTTACCTAGTTGTGTAACAAATAGGTGCTAGGTTATGTTGTTTATTGACACATAAACTTTTGAATTAGTGATAAATACTTACAGATATTTCCAAGTGTTTTATTATTAGATAACTATTACATTTGTGGCACTGTTTGAAGTGAATAGTTTATGAATATGAGTGAATTACGTCAAAGAAAGGTAATAAAATGTACCTATATTTGATTAAATTTTCTTAGAAATTAACTCATATAATATTGTAGTCTTTGAAATTAACTTTGTTTTCTATTTAATTTTAACCGTATAAACTTAAAAATAATACCTTTTTCAATGTTTGTTTTTTATTAGTCTGTGCTCTTGGACTGCCTGCTTTGCGATAAGTATAACCGGTATAACCTAAAAAGTAAAAATAATATGGGTATGGAACACAGAACACTATTACTCCTAAAGGTATGGAATAATAAGATATAACCTTTAGTAGTTTTGCAATAAAGATTAAGCAATAAAGAGAAATATTTTATTACACTGAAAAATATTTCAAAATCTTGAATTTAGGAGACATCCGTGATCCGTAGATGACTAGATGAGCACTGGCTTGGCAATGAGTGGCTGTGCTGCGGGTGCAAAATCCCGCACGGAACAAGTATTTGTATGGCCTACAAATAATTGTTTTGGGTCTGGATGTTACCACGATACAGGAGAAAATCCTATAGTGTGGGGGTAACGTTATAAAAAATACTGGTAAAAACACTTGAGTATGTACTTGAGTACATTGAAGTAATATGTACTTACGTACTAGAACAGCTATCTCAAACAAAAAATGTGCGCTACTCTGTGTTCGCGCGGTTGTTTATCATAGAATAAACATAGGTAGAATGACCCGTAGGTAATAGTAGATTGTATTGTTAAATAGGTAAATTATATCGAGAACAATATTTAAATTTTGTCATTTATTTTGTGTATTATATTTAGTTATTTAATGTAATATTACATGATATTATATCACAATTACTATCTAAGTCAAATACAAAAAACATAATAAATATATGTTTAACAAAACTTATTAACACAACATTTAAATATCTTTATTTAAATTAGAATAAAAGTCGTTCATAAATGCTGGGCTCGCGAGAGTTAAAAATGGACGAATTTATACCACTTTGACTTTGATGAGGAAGCCTAAAAATAAAATAAAAGAATAATAAGCAGATTTAAACATGAAAAATTTTGCCTTATTATAATAACTTATATATATTTCTACAAAAAATGTGTATAATAATATATATGTCCTTTACTTAAGTACCCACAAAAATGTCGTATCTGAACTTATTAATTTCATAATCTATATTTCCTGACACAAGATGGCAGGAATAAATTGTTTTATTATTAATACATAATATTTTTTTATTGATTAAGTATCTTATTAACCGATGAAAAGTAATTCCTTGGTTTTTACTGACTTTTTTTAATTATTTCTGCAATATCTAAGTACACACGACGGCATATTTTTATCAATAGATTTTTTTTTAAATCAACACAACACGTGATATCTCTATAAGCACCTAGCGAGTGAGTGAGAAAGTGCGGTGTATGCACCGCAGTTAAGTGGAACACAGTAGCTGAATGCAGTGATGCCTCTAGTACGTAGTACATAATAGCTCAATGAGTATGTATTTATTTTTATGTTGAAAAGTACTTCATCATTATTTTATTTGGACATCATCGTCCAAAACGCTTGGTATAAAAATTGATAAAAAATATTATTGTTGGTACTTATTAGTTTACAAGAAGGGCATTAGACGATTGTGTCCTAATAAAATAATGAAGTACTTTTCAACATGAAAATAAACTAGGTACATACTTCAGTAGGTATGTAGTTTATTTCCATGTTGAAAAGTAAGTATACGTCGACTCGTAAGTAAGCAACTATAGGCATAGGTACAAGTTGTATCGTGTTGTACCTGTCTATAATATAATATAGGTATCGCCATACGAAAAGGGTTTTTTGGTGCACTCAATTATTATCTGAAACTATTTTATAAATAAATGCTGGTTATATCAATCAATTACAATATATTTGTATACTACGTAAATGTATTCAGCTATTAGTGGGTTATGAAATAATCCTACACTTATGAAAGAGCGATCTATCTGCAACTTGTCGCTAGGCTTGGTTAAAAATATCGACAATATATATATATATATATATATATATATATATATATATATATATATATATATATATATATATATATATATATACCACTACTACTTGCCCATCCCTTCTCGTCGCTATTGTCACATGAGTAGATAAACCGGAACATTGCTATAGTTCGGCCGTTCAGAGAATGCGTTCCTGACACCTATCAGTTAGTCATGACTAGTGATGGGCACAACATAACA